AATCCATGAGGATAATCTCAATGCATAAAAACATTTTTTTTGTTTAAAGATTTTGTTAAACATGAACTATCTAAAATTCCCTCAATGTTAAATAAATTACGAAAAAATATTTACCTTTTCTGTGGTAACACATGTTAAGTAACTTTACAGCGGCAATAGTGATTGGAACGTCGCAGTTGACAATGATCTCAGTGATAAGATTGAGATCCTTCAACGAATGTGCCAGCTTGACTGTTTGTGGAATGATGGTGAAACCAAACATGGTTACAGTGATGAAAACTATTCGGGGAGTAGTCCAATTGCTTATATGAAAAGGATCCGGCCAAGCACCGAGTAATCGCAACAAAAACCTACAAGGGCCGAAGGTATGGTCGAATGCTAAATAAAAAAATTGTTGTTCTCAGTTGTGATAAAACATAATTTTATTTCATTAATTTACAAATTCTGACACCGTGATTGCTATGTCTCTTATTCTTTGTTGATCAATTAATATTTGATTGTGTTAAATTCAATTAATATTGAAATGTGTTGTTGATGGCATACTACTTTTCAATACTTAATGGCAGGAAAAAATTACCATCGGAGTTGAGACCTTTGGGTTCTACAAGTTTTCCTTTAGCACTCATTTAAGTATCTGGTTTTCTAACAGGAATTTTACTCTAAGCTACGTTGTACGAGACGAAACACAACACACGCGATGGTATTCCTACTGCACGTAAGACGATTGTACCTTACGTACTCAAGAAACCAGAAACAGAAGTGGACGTAGGAGCGCGTACCTGAATTTTTCATTGCTAGGCATAATTGCAACCCCTCTATTATTTAATTGTACTCTTGATCATGTGAGCATACGCATATCAAATGCACATGGTTCCGTTGTTCGGCTAATAAAAGCCCCAGTTTCAATAAAAAAAAATACGCGCAAGAGCGGGGGCTTTGTGTAAGCTATGATAAATAATTTTCTACCCTAGTGCACCGAGTGCAATTTAATTAATAAAAATTTCAAACATCAATGAAAAAATAAAACGCTTTTCTCCTTCCATTTGAGCATGCGTGGTAAGCCTCGAGATCCAGCATGCTATTCACTGAGATACAGTTTAACGATAGTGTTGAGTCCACTCTCAAAGAGGCTACGTAGAGTATCATAATTTGTTTTTGGTGGAATTTCGTAAGCCAAAAAAATTAGTTTGCATGTTTTCAAAGTTTAGTGAAAATAATCTCTTTTGAGTAATAAAGTTTAATGAGTCTTATGATTAGTTATTATTTTTTATTATTATTTTTTTTTGTCATAAATATCATTATAGAAAGATCGAAAAAAGTAGTAACTAGAGAGAACGTTTATTGTTGATTGTCAGTAACTAATACTTTACTTTTAAGATTTATCAAAAACTAATAGTTATTAATAATTGTTAATAATAGAATCACTTTTATTGTTGTATATTTTATATCAGATGGAAAAAATAATAAAAAATAATAATGAATGATAATCTTTATTGACATGGTTATACGGTTTGATCTCGTGAACAAAAAAAAAGACCAAAAATAAGGATTACAACATTTTAATACTAGCTTGTGGTAGATAATTGTGAATGATGAGTCTTATTACTTATCTAAAATCTAGACATTAAAAACTGTTATTATTATTTATTATTTTCTACTGATTTTCAAAAATAGTCATTACCAACTTATTAAATAAAATTATTGCCGCTTGGGTATCGGGCAAATCATGAAAATATGCAAATCGTAAACCAAAATAAGTAGATGCAGACCTTCTGACGTAATGTTTCTGCGACGTAGCAATAACCAAATAAAGTAAATAGAAATAGGATGAAAAAGTAAATCATGTACATTAGTTGCATGACAGGAATTTTTTCGGCTTCTGTTAACTATAAAAATCACATTATATTAAATAATCTTTGAATTTTTTTTTTTTTCAGAAATATTTGAATGCATTTAAAATCAACATTGCTGTACAAAAAATTCTCACCATGATGAGGGTGTAACCTTGCGTACACAGAACAAAAATACAAGGTATTAATTGCATGAAAAACATCATGTTGAAAGAATCTTCAATGTCTGCATGAAACCTGAAAGACTCAAAAATGGTAAATAACACCATAGGCTGTAGATAAAAAGAACAATAACTTTATCTCGTTGCCACTTGAAATAAAAAGTCATAATTTTAAATATTTTTAGCATATTTTAAGCGTATTACGATAGCAGATTAATTACTTGCACAAGCGATTGTGATGAGCGTGGATGTTGTGAAAACGCTTTACGAATTCGTACTGCTGATTGCCATTCTTTATGGTTATAGGCAGCTCCGATATCAACAGTTTGAGAATCGATAGTTGTCCAACCAGATGAAAAATAAGAACAAAGTAAAAGGAATCGCTCGAAGAGTACGTGTACGATGCAAAGAAAACCGAAACTATTTGGCCAACGACGGTCAATTCGTAATTCGGGGATACTTGTGTGCTGTACGGGAACGAGCCGATGAAGTACAAAGGCCGATCCTCGGTCACACAAACGTTTGATTTCCTAGCGCAAGATATCGGCCCGATCATATGGGCTACAAGTTGGGTGTATAAACTTGTTTTGTTCAGAATGATGACCCCTAGGGTGACGTATCTGGAGTATCTGGCTGTCTTCCATATCAATTTCACTTCCTCTTGGCGCTGCAATCTGGAATAATCTGCCAAGATACGGTGCAACAAGTCTTTCAACACTAGAATGAAAAATTTTTTCCTTTTTTTATGTCTGCTTTCATTTCAACCCCAATTTATTCATCAATTTTCATCAGTGATACTTTATTATTAAAATAATAATTAAATATTCCTGCAGTAAATACTACTTGTAAACAATTTTTATCCTATAAACATATTACTTTATTGTTACAATAATGTATATATATTGCCATAAAAAATTCAATCAAATTTTCTAACATGACGTGAAAAAATTCACTGACTACGCGCACTTATCTTGTGTGCATTAAATATAAAGAAAACTGGACAAATTTTTTATGGTGACGTTGATTGTTTTTAAAAATGATTTTATAATTAGAAAATTATAGACAATGCAATACTGCATATATTTTTTAAATAATTTTTTTCTCACTTAAAAAGTACGCTTTATTCGTACCATAAAATCACATTACTACTAAATGACTACAGACAGCTCTATTGTTTATAGATTTCATGCAATTAAAAATTAATGTCTTAAAATAAAATAATTCATATTGACTAAAATGTTTAAGAATTTTGGTCAATTCAAAAAATCAATTTATTTATTGTTAATTTTAACCTTGAAAATATCCATTTTTGTATTTTTCCAAACATTAACAATGGTCAGTAGCTAATCTTAAATAGTTACTTCAGTTGTTTTCTAATAAGTCTCTTCATTTAAAGGTTTGATACCAATGTCGACTTATAATAACGTATGAATACGATACAAATAAATATTACAACTAATAAATTAACATTTTTTTATTTATTGGTTAAGACTAATTATTATTATTATTACTATTACTGATGCGACAAAATATATATATAAAGTTTTTGCTTACAATTTAATGATTTGTATCAACGTCTTTTATTCTTAATTTCTTGATGATTAAATTTCGGTATCGTATGAACCTCTGTTTTTTTAGTTGAGCTTAAATTTCATACAAAAATTAATTGTTTGTAGAAAAATCAGTTTCATACCATGTGGCTTAATAAAATTTTCCTCCTATTTTTCGTACTCGTTGCGAAGCTACAAAAAAAATAAATGAAATTGGTGAAAGAGCGAAAGAAAATGTCCAAAGAAAGTTGACAGTAAAGCACTTTTTAACCAGAATTTTAAGTCGAGAATTAGGGGGTCTAACAAAGGAATTTTCCATTCATTAACCTGCGAGAACCGTACGTTAATCCTTTCTTTTTTGAAACGCAGTGCCCACTTTTACCTAATACATATACTTATCAGCAGCAGCAGCCGCAGCAGGAACATCGTTGGCTCGACTGACCCACTTGCATGTGCTCTTCCTTGTGTTTTTTCGGTCGATTGGATGGANGTTCGGCTAATAAAAGCCCCAGTTTCAATAAAAAAAAATACGCGCAAGAGCGGGGGCTTTGTGTAAGCTATGATAAATAATTTTCTACCCTAGTGCACCGAGTGCAATTTAATTAATAAAAATTTCAAACATCAATGAAAAAATAAAACGCTTTTCTCCTTCCATTTGAGCATGCGTGGTAAGCCTCGAGATCCAGCATGCTATTCACTGAGATACAGTTTAACGATAGTGTTGAGTCCACTCTCAAAGAGGCTACGTAGAGTATCATAATTTGTTTTTGGTGGAATTTCGTAAGCCAAAAAAATTAGTTTGCATGTTTTCAAAGTTTAGTGAAAATAATCTCTTTTGAGTATCGTATCCTTGAATGATAAATACATTCATCGAAGTATTACAAGAGTTTACGAATACTAAAAATTTTTTAAATATTTGTAGTTTATCAAAATAATTTACAAAAGTAAATTGAATTATTAGATATTAACAAAAATGTCATTTATACCTTTTTTCCGTTGGATGGCAGACTATACATAATATATAACAGTTATACAGTAGTTACTTAATTATTTAAATAAAATGTTTCTATCCATTGAGCTCGACACTAATATCAGTTTCTTACCCAATAAAGCTTGTTTCATAAATTCTGGT